ACCCCAAAGGCAATAGCAGAGGCCTTCAAGACATATTACGCTTGCTTATACAATCTGACACCCATGACAGAAGGAACGGAGAGGGACACTACTGCCCTACAAGACAACCGACTGGAATACGTGACCCGCCACATCACCTCTAAGCTGAGCACGGAGGCAAAAGAAGCTCTAGACGAGCCCATCTCCATAGAGGAGCTACTTATGGCAGTGAAGCTAGCGAAGACAGGGAAAAGCCCAGGACCAGACGGGTTCACTACACAATACTACAGAATATAGGCCAAAGTCCAGGTGCCACACCTGGTAGAAGTCTTCAACTCAATCAGAAAGGGGAGCACACTGGAGCCCAACATGCTCATGGCTCATGTGGTGGTGATGCCGAAGGAGGGAAAGGACCCAACGGAGCGCGCCAGCTATAGACCAATCTCCCTGTTAAACGCCAACCTGAAACTTTTCACGAAGATACTAGCCCTCCGCATCCAACCCTTCCTACCGGGCTTATACACCCAGATCAAGTGGGATTTGTTAAAGGAAGGGAGGCCCATGACAACACAGTAAAGGTGATCAACTTGATACACGAAGCCCAGAAGCATTCGTCCCCGGCACTGCTGATATCGACGGATGCGGAGAAGGCGTTTGACAGGGTGGATTGGTCCTTCCTCATGACAACGCTTCGACAGGTGGGTTTCGGACCCCACATGCTATCATGGATATAAGCCCTCTACTGTAAACCAGCAGGGCGAGTATGTGTGAAAGGAATTCTCTCCCAACCATTCGACATGCGAAGCGGGACCCGACAGGGATGCCCCTTATCGTCTCTACTCTTTTTCATCAGCCTGGAACCGTTCCTCAATGCAATAAGGGAGAATACCGGTGTGATGGAGGTTGGAGGGCCGCATATGCCGATGATCTTTTTTCAGTAACGAACCCGCACACATCTCTACAGGCGATCATGCAAGAATTAGAAACGTATCACCTTCTCTCTAACTTACAGATAAATTAAAGAAAATCAGAAATCCTCAATATAGGATGCAACCCGAATGTAGTACGGACGATTTGCACTGCATTCCCCTTCCACTGGTGTAGAGAGGCCTTGGGATACCTGGGCATATGGATGTCAGCAAAGTTACCCGACTTGTCCCGGCTCAACTTCATTCCACTTTTGGGATGACTACAGAAGGACCTACAACAATGGACACTACCACACATCACTTGGCTAGGGAGAATAAATGTCCTAAAAATGAATGCCCTGCCCATACTTCTGTACCTCCTCCAAACCCTACCGATAGATATACCTGGGGAGTTCTTTGCCCTGGTACACAAATTGTTCACCCAATATGTGTGGAACGGAAGGCAAGCAAGACTGAGATATGGGATCCTCACACAGCCTAAACAGAGGGGGGGACTGGGACTGCCATCCACACAGTACATTTGCAAAGGATCATAGAGTGGACCCATGCCCCCCTGAGAAACTCTGGATTGAGATGGAAAGCCGCTTCTCCAAGATTGCTCTGACGGTGCTGCCGTGGATGCCGAGGGGAACGGAGGGGATGCTCCCGAGGGGCCACCCGACCATTAACACTACAGTGAAAATATGGCGGAAACTAGCCCCACGGGGGACCCTTTCGCCGCCAGTGTCTCCTATGTACCCTATCGCAGGAAACCAGCTATTCAAGCCAGCGGACTCTCTGCAGTTTCCGACCTCCTTGGGCCTGCCACGGCGGTGCAGACTAAAAGACATAGGCACAGGAGGAGGAGTGAAGCCGCTGGCAGACTGCCAGCTCCGAGCCCCTCAGGTTTCCTGACTCAGTCCCGATACCACCAATTGGCAAGACACGTCAAATCCATCCCAGGCCTGGAATCGTCGAACAGACAACTGACCACCTATGAAACACTATGTGATCAAGACACCCTTCCAGTACACTGCATCTCAATCCTCTATCAAATGATACTACCTACGCAAAGTGGAAATCAACCTCCATACTTTACTAAATATTGGGAGAGGGACCTGGGGCATCCACTGACGGAGGATCAATGGTCGGACGTCTTTGTGAACATGCATAAATCCTCAATCAGTACCATGAGACTGCGCGCAGCATTGAGCAAGTGCGGTATCACCGTCTCCTTGTATTTTGTGGTTGGCATTGAGGTGACGTGCAGGAGATAGGCTTTGGGAGTAAAGTCAATACTTGCATCCGTTATTGTGGTGATAATTTCGTGCACCCTCTCCCAAAAGAGTTTGATGTTTTGGCAGCTCCACCATATAAGGAACTGCGTGCCTAATTCCCTGTCACATCTCCAGCATTCTGGATCACAGTGGAAGAGAGCTTCTCAGGGGTCTTGTACCAGCGAGTTATCATCTTGCATGGGGGGATGGGGCGGGGTGGTGGCAATGGGGGGCTTCGGGGGCACTCTCTGTGCCCCCTCCTGGTGTTCTCTCCCCGTCCCCCCTCCCCCTATTTTCCGCTCCCTCTTGTCTCCCCCCGGTCGCCGCCCCCGGTGGTGCAGGGTCTGTAACAGACACTACAGGGAAGCCCACCCTTTAGGTATACAAGTCGGGCTATATAACACAACAGTCTCCACACCGACCGAGACACAAGACCACAGAAGGGCATATTGCCGGAACCGAAAGTGGTGCAAGGTCCTGACAAGACATTAAACATTTTGAAACTTAAAAGGACAGGAAAGGGAAAATGTTGAAGTGGAACGAAACCGAAGGAAGGGGAGAACCCAAGCTGAGGAAAGAAGACCTAAAACGTTGACTGCACACACGCTTACAGGCAAACATGTCACAGCCTAGAGCCACACTTTGACAAGACTATTGTTACGATTGCCCCCGGTCTAGCAGGAGAGTTGATCGCTTGGATGTCCTGGTTCCCGCAGTAGAGAGTCGAACGGAGTTCCTTCGGTAAAAAGCTGCAAGTGTAGAGTCTCCCACAAATGATATAAGCATTAATATCCCGGATCCCTACAACATGAGTCGAGGCTGCAAGTTGAGGGTCAAAACAAACTGATTTTACTGGCACACAAACATGGCAATTTATGCAATTCCTCAGGTCCAAGGACAGCCCCCTGTACAAACAGGTAACCAATCATAGTACAGTGTATCATTTGAATTAGTACCCGCCCAGCTTGGAGATAATGAGGCCAACGGTTATACAATCTAATTATCTTCCAGCGCACAAAAGACCACGTTTTATTATGCCTCATAAAACTGTATAAAAATACATAACTTAAACATTAATAGGGGAAAATGGTTCATTCTACCATTCATTCAATAGCTCACGTTCGGGTACATTAAACATACGAATGGCGCTCCAATCCCACGAACAGAATGATCTATTTCTGCCGTATAAAGTCCGTTCGGTATTTTGGGTCGTGAGTCCTTGATGGCGGCCATGTTTTTAGACGGTTTAGCGAGCAGCGGGAACTCGCCTCCAACTTATGGAACTGAACTCGGGTATAAGTTCATGCGAATCCCCGCTGTCTGTCTGGTAGTGGAACTCGTTCGGTACACGAATTAGGACCACCTGGTAGCACGGTACTTGAGTTGCGGTTAACAGCAGAAATCGCAGGCTAATTGCTGACACACGACCCACTGTAGGGGGTCTCCGTTCGTGAGGTTATTAGGTAGTTCCCCTTCGGTGATTTGTGGGCGAACGTCGATCCTCCTTGCCCGTCAATTAGTTTGTGGTTAACCTCAGATCGCAGCCGCCTGGGTGGTTAATGGGTGCCACACTCCGCTTGTCGGGTGGTCGGCCATTCGGTACTTTGCGGGGTGAAGAGGTTAATTGGCGGCACACACCAGCGTTTGGGGGGTCTCTTGTTCGTATCACGAATGGGTCTTTATAAGGATTCGTATAGTCCATTCATGTTTCCCCGTGTTAAAAGTATAGGGCTGCAACAGTAACAACCTGTGATAACAATAATGGAGTCATTTCGAGTCTTTTGTAACAACTATAATTCTCATCCTATACTCGAATGTCCTAGTGACAATACTCAATTAACTTCGCGGGGTCTGGGGGGGGGGAGGAGCAATTTAACATGACAGATGACATAGGCCCTAGGTAGAACATCTGACAATAAGAGATGCACACACAGAGGGGGGATTACACACCTGCTCCTGCAATACACGCAACTAGACATAGACAGCCTGTACATCACGGCCTACAAGCAATTACATTACACTGCCCCCAGCTACACAAAAACGGGAGGAACGGTCCTATATAACTGCTATGAATAGATGAGGTATCAAGGTGGATGCCGGTACTCACACAGTTAAATTCATAACAGGCAATAGTTCAGTTACGATATGTTACTGTTAATGTTCATATTGCTCTGCACAAATGTTTGACGAATGTCGTTACAAATACTAGTTGTGCCCTCGCAAGGATATACTTACCAGAAACTGATGGGTCTGCAGGATTCTTATGGAGAACATTGTCGGAGAGGGCCCCGCTCCAACTTACAATTGTCAAAATGTTTGTACATGCAATCCACTGTAAGATGTATGTTCTGCTCAGAAAACCAATATATGTAAACATACGTGTGTAACAATAAAGCGCTTTAATAACTAAAATAGCAATTAAAGGTTAACTTCCCACATCTGTGGCTTTTTAAATTGCAATTAGTGTCTGTGTATATATAGTCAATGAGTATGTTAGCTCTTACGTGGATGCACTGAGCAGGCTTGAGCAGAAAAGAACTGTCAAAAGACCTACGTAACAAAGTAACAAGATGGAAAAGGATATAAAAAGATTTTCAAAGCCTTAAAAATGCTAGTCAGTACTGTTCAATTACTTATTAAGATGTGGGAAATTCGGGGATCTCTTGATACTGAGCCAAGGTCAGGTAGACTGTGGCAAACCTAGCCACTTTAGATTGTGCTGTTATATGTCTAAAGGTTGTCCTAGAACGCTGGTCCAATGCTGTTAGTTTATGTATTTGCTTATAACTGTAATAGAGAGCATTCATATGGTAATTTCACGAATAGTGACTTTCCACACTGTTTGTGAAACGAACAAAGTACCGAATGGGAGCCCACACACAGAAGGGCGTGTGGCTCCCATTAACCAATTGCAACACTGTAGCAATCGGCTGATAATTGATTTCCCGGGTGGCCGTCGTTCGGCTACCGACCACGAAGCGGCGGCCATCTTGGATTTCCCTTTTGCCTAGCGGTGTTTGGTCGTCGAGTGCCTGGAACTAAAATCGGCTACTTGACGGCACGAACACCGCTGGACTTCCAGGCCGTTCAACCCCTGTAAAGTGATTAAGGAAACCCCTTGCATGGGGAACCACATAAATACTGGAGCTTATGAATAAAATCGTCAGTTGACTCCCAGAACTGTGTTTCGTCCGGTTACTGGGGGATTTGGGATATTGTCTTCATTTTCAGCGCTTTCCTTGGATTACCTTCTTTTACCAGCAGAGATATTGTGATTTAATATTGCAGCACCACTATATAGTCCAAGGAAGATTTCAGCCACAACTGCCAGAAAAATAGTTTGGGATACAATAAAAACCCCAGAGGTAACCAGGCTGCTCTGGAAAAAGATGGTGTCATTGTTTCCAGTAGCACAATACGATGATACTTGAACAAATGAGCTGCATGATCGAGATGCCAGAAAGAAGCTTTTACTGCACCAATGTAAAAAAAAAACCCGGTTACAATATGCCTTGATAAGCCTCTCCGCTTCTGGCACACTGTAATTTGGAGTGACAAGACTTTGGAGTGACGAGAGACAAGCGCTATGTTTGGAGAGAACTGGATGCAGGGAGGCCAGGCAACATGGGGAATGGGGACTGGGTGAGGGATCGTAAGTCTGGAACCGTAGAGGAAGCAGCAAAGTTGGCACACGAGTACCAAGATGGAAGGAAGGTAGAACCCAGTGGAGGATGACCCCCCTTCAGCCTGTCCTATCTGGCGCAAAGCACCCCACCACCATCCAGACCTGCTCCCTTCACCCCTGCACCCACACCAGCACCTTGTGCAATGGGTGCAGCCAACCCGGGCACTTTAAGAACAATTTCCCAAACTGTAACAAAGGGAGCTGAGAATGCACACCACCTCAGCCAGTTCGGGCTGCAGCCCACTATTACCAGGATGATTTTTTTTCTAACACCAAGTTGCCCAGAGTAACAGTGGACAGTCCTACATGAGGTGAATCCCATCCAAGCTGCAGGCGACAGCCGGGAGCACCATCGGCAGTAGGTATCCGTACACTGGCAGGAGGCAAGGGGACTAAGAGACACTGGCGTGACCTTAACACTTAGGCAACCGCACAAGGTCAGTCCACAAGCTCGGACCGGCCAGGAGGCTCCATCCACAAACTCCCAATCGCCCGAGCTAATCTCAACTGGATTTGGGGCCAAACAACTGGAGGTCGGAATCATGCGAGACCTCCCAGCCAAAGTACTGTTGGGGAACGACTTGGGCTGCCTGACCAGTTTACCACCTCACACCTTGAGAAGACCATACCTGTGACCACGAGACTGCAAGCCAACAGGGGAGAATCGATGCACTCAGAGGACCCTCAGGTAGGGCCTATGTCCCGACCCTAGCAGAGAATGCCACTCCTTATTGGGGCCAAGGTTTTGAAGGAGAACAGAGGGCAGACCCATTGTTAGAGCAGTAAAGGAAATAGGCAATGGAGATATAGAGCAGGAACGCTTTCGGTGGGGAAAAGGGTCTGTTATACAGGGTTACAAGGGAACAGGGAGCAGAGCAGCACAAGTAACTAAAAGACAGCTGATAGTTTCCCGTAAATACCGGGGAGGAGCTGCTTAAGCTTATCCACACCATTCCCCTAGCAGGACATCTTGGTATCCGTAAAACAAAAGACCGGTAACCCAGACATTCTTTTGACCAGGAATCACACGGGATCTGCAGAATTAGCAAAGGATAGGGAAGAGGGG